TCGGAGCAATATGTCATTCTCACCAACAGAGTACGTACTGGATGAGCTAGAAGGATGTACAAATAGTCATTGCCCGTAGTTGTGATACTTCTCTCTTCATATAGTTTAATCTTTCTAAAAGTACACTACAACCAGCTTGGTTTCGTCACAGGAATGTACGAACACTTCTTGTCACCCATTCTCTAGAATGTCTTCCATCCTCTACCCAAGTTTCGTCTGTCCATAAAACTGACGTCCAGTCTTCATATGTCCAATTGAGATGAGCTTCGGCCCATTCTCTGCGTGTCTTCATAGTTTTCTGAGATACTGGCGGCTTTAGACGAGCCATATGTTGCTGATATCCTCTTATTTAAAATTCTCTTTGTATTACCCGCTCGCTAACACCAAGATGTCTAAAGGGGCCAGAGGCGAGTTCCAGAAATGTTTTGCAGCGGTTTCCGGGTGAAGACTCAAAATAAGATATAATCTGATCAACATCATCTGCTTTCAGCCTTGAGGATGTTATTTTTCTCTTTTTGGGGGAGACAGTTCGGCGGCGCAGTGAATAACTAACTTGTCCCCGAGAAATGCCTAGTTGCGCGGCAATCTGCGTCTAGTTTTTGCCAGATTCATGAAGCCCATAATTCTTAATTTTTCTTTTAATTTATATTTGTTCACATCTAATTTTTCTACTTACTAAAATGTTTTGATCTCTGGATAATTGTTCGAACCGAGGTGTTGAAGGTAGGGTTTGAGGTGGATTCACCTGTAAAATAAGGTTATTATCGAGTAAAGCCATGTGTCTTCTGAATAAATAACTTTGTATTTGAGAAATCTAATTCTTATTGTAACTCAAGCGTAAGGTGAGAAAAGATGTGTAATTTTTTAGCGGTCGGCGCTCATCAAAGCAATGGGAAAGACCTAGGGCGCGGGTTGGATTTGCATGAAACTGAGTGTGACATGAAATCAAATTGTGCCCTCGGTTTAGGCCTGGAAATACAGGACAAGAATTATGTACCCTGTCGACATTGGCGCTAACATGGGTACAGCCCCTGTAGCAATTATGCGCCCCATATAAATCCACTGAAAACTTGAAATCGTGGCACCACGGTGTGTTATATTATCCATGTAACTTACCATGGTACATGCTTTAGGTCACGTCATAGTAGATGCAAGTGACTGTGGAACTAAACCGTGGGGTATTTAGTGTGTCTTGTCTTTTTTTTTTTTTTTTTTTTTTTGCATCAGATTTTAATTGCGTATGCAGCTATCTAGCTATGACACAATATCAAAGAAAAGTACAGAAAAGATGACTCAATTTACAAGAGGAGCACTCATGCCTCGGATTTCATTTGCAAGTACCACTGCGAAGTTATGGTGGCTTTTTCTTCACCCCAAGTCAACCCTCATCCGTGAATACCCACCCAGGGGAACGTCTCAAAAACCCTGAGTTATCCAGACATGCCTCCGTCATCCATCAACTTTTCTCCGCGCGAAATGTAATCTGAGATGTCTCCTTCCCAAGTGGAGTAGGTGCCCAGGCTACTCAAACCATACCAGAGAACATCACCAGGAGGCGGTCCACAACACCTTCCATCGTTTGCTTGTTTTTATAGTGTCAGCTGCACTCTCGCAAGCGAAGTCTTGGCGCGCACAAAGCTCAATTCGTAAAACTCTTGCCAAAATTCAAGATTCCACGCCCGTCGAAAACGTATCCCTCTTCTGCATCATCTTGTGAACTTGTCCTGATCCCTCTCACGTCCATCCCAAAGAGCTATCTCCCAGATTTGTGCTCCACGCTTTGCTTCCTCCGTCGGGTATAAATATCGGCGTGGGCGTGTATTTGGTGACCGGCTGAGGCCAGAGAAAGTCGACGAGAGGTGTGGTCATTGAAACGAGGATGTACTAGGTCGTACTTGTAGACTTGATGAAGCTTAGTTGAGAATCGGACTCTTTGGGAGTGAAAGATTGACATGGTGGAGTAATTTGAATCTTTGCCTCGTGGGCCAACTTTGATATTGCGAAATTTGACTGAACTTGGCTCTGGGAGAATATTTCACTCCCAGGTTCGTAGAGGACACCGCATACAGGTGTTCAGTCTTGCCCTCCTGTGTCTTGTCTTGTCTTGATCATTTACGTGCTAGGTAAAGTGATTCCCGTTGCACTCCTACTGGAGCTTAAGCACGGGTGGGGCCGGGCTGGATCAGGTTAACTACCGTGAAGTACAGATACACCTCGTCCCACTTAAATGACCGGACCACTTCAGACTTCACCCATGTGTTGAATCATGTCAAGCCCAACCGTCCAGAGAACACCCTTTTGGAGCGCCGAAGCGCAAATTCCTCCCCAGCCTCGGCCACCACGCGCCCTCGCCGTTGACACCTTCGCCGTCTGTAAGTTTTCCCTTTCATTCATTCTCAGCTTTGGCTCATCTCAGCATCTCCTCACTTCATCCAGGTATCGTTTTCTTCACTGGAGGCCTCATCCAGTCGCCCACCAAGGCCTCCTCAGTTTGTATTCCCTTTTTAGTTCCTTCATACGGCATCCCTCTGTCCTTCAGCTGATCTCGTCATCCCAGAAACTTTGCAGAATGTCCACCCCTCCGGCCTTGCCCCGTCGCTGCCGTACCCCTAACCGTGGAGGTTGAAAATGTGACTGAGAGCTCTAGACCGAGGCACCGGTGCCCCAGCCTTTGTCAAATGCTCTAGTTGGTGTGCCGGCGAAATTTCGTCCGTATTTCTTCGGTGGCAATTCGTCGCAAGTCGAGTTGTTGGTGCCCCTGGCCGAGGTGAGGACGCACCTAAGGCCGGTATCTAGACCGTACCTTCACACCGACTGGCAGTTGCAGAAGGTCGGATGTCCTCTTGCTTCTTTTTTGGCGATTTGGCTTTTGGAGGTATGGGATTGCTTTGGTAGGTGATGAGATAATTGTGGAGAGAGCCGCGAGATGAGTTTGGCTGAGAATGAATTTCCAAAGAAAAACAAAATAAGATCTTGAAGGTGTCGGTTATTGTGATACGAATATCAGACAGGTTAAAGGCTATCCACGATTCGTATTTTGGGTGTAGATGGTTGATTTCGTTGAGTTGTGCAGTCATGAAATCTCTGCAAGTCGGATTTTCGACCAAAAATGAGCCAACACCTCTCCTCCCGATCGCCAACTCGACGAAAACTCTCAAATCCACCCTCTTTCGTGACTGAATCTCGGCTCATGGTAAATATTTCACTCCCAGGCTCGTAGAGGACACCACTGATAGGTGTTCAACCTTCGTCCTCCGGTGTTTAGTGTGTAATGCATGTGTGGGTATTATGAACCAAACTAGAACTCGAAAGAATAGAGATAATGGAATCAGCGAGAGACTGATGGACTGAAGGAGAACGAGCTGGCCATTTCTCGTAGGAGAGAAATGATATCACAAGGGAATGTTCTAGCACTAGGCTGTGAACAACAATGTAAGTCTTGAGCAAGATATAAGGAGGTCTCAAACTCCGTCCATTCATTGAAACTAAGTTTCCTATGTGCGAGAATATAGAGTCAAGTCTTACATATCATGAGAACACACGCGACAGCGATTATAGAGGCCTACTGTGAGCATAACTTCCCCAAGAGTATCCATCGTCCCGCTCCTATATAGCCTAGTTAATATAACAATGTACATACACATATATGGGCCAGGAATAAAAAGCTAAATACATGTGTGTCGGTAATAGATACGAGAAAACTATAACCAAAAAGTTATTCTTGGCATTCCAAGATATGTCATATTTCAATAGTTTCACCCTTCCCTCAACCGTTAATATCCACCATCTCGCCGGATCAATTGATGTTGGTATACAACAGAGCAAGTCCAGTATAAAATATGTTCATCACCGAAATCTAGAGACGAAACGTCATCTACATCTTGCTATTTTCATAAGGGATTGTTCTTTGAATTATGATTGTTGAATTTGATTTCGTTTAGCCCGATTTAGCGCCTTAATGCCCATGCGATGCCTGCGAACTCTAATATCTATATAGGGAGAAGCCTTTAAGGTACAATCTCCCTCATATTTCCAATTTGCATACACTTTAAAGTTGTGTTACCTTCACGAAGTGCACTAACATTGTTATGTCCAGTGCGGATACTGTCCACTTTATTGCTACTGGCAGGAGATCATCTTTCCCCTTCTCTCCTCTCTCCCTCGTCATGGCCTCGACTTCAAGCGTCAGTCGAAACTGCTCTAATCTTCCTTCCCGATGGATCCATATAGTTATCCTTGCTATATCTTTTCAATTGTTCATCATGGCCTCAAATGACCGGTTCTCTGCCTTTCTTAGTATTTCTCCTCTACCTTTGGCCCAGCTGGTGCAGGCCATGATCATATGCTTCACATTCTGGGACGGATATCCACATTGGCAACGTAGATTATCTACTCCTGTAACTTTTCTTCTGTGCAGATAGGAATTGAGCCCTATGTGTTCGCTTCTTATCTGCATGGCTATCCTGCTCTGGGCCCTGATCAGGTGTTTATGGATACTGGAAGGTGTTCCTCTTTGGCTCATTCCTGTCTTTCCCGTCTTTTCATCCGTAGAGATGCGTTGTGCTAGGTATTCATAGACTGAAGTAGCAAAATAAACAACACGTTCACTGACTCATTCTCACGCTGTTAATAAACAGAGTGATGAAACAACGCCAGCTTGCTAGCACACTTGCACGAAATGCGCAGCCACAATAACTACGTGTGAGCCGCTGAAAGTGAAATGTGAGTAGTTCTTGTGCCAGAACACGCAACACCGACAATGAAAGTTTTCCAAAGAGAATTCCCGAGAAATCAGAACAGGGTCTAAGATAGTCAGGCTTTTAGAGTGAGCCATTCACGAGCGAAATATGGAGCTTTTGTGACAATTATTGCCATAAACTCTGGCACCACCCAAGTTCATATCTAGGCATAATGCGAATTTAACGGCATTCCGCGAACTATGTACCAGACACATTTGCGGTAGCTTGATACAAAATTAAATTGTTAACCACAAAAAGTTGTCAGTCCAATCCTTCTCCTTTCAGTATATTTTGCAGAATGCCACCTCCAAACCCCTCAAGAGCTTGAGAAATTTCCTCCTCTCCAACACAACTTTTAATCCTATTTCTTTCACCAACTCCCAGACCAGTTCCAAACTTTGCCATCCGAGATTGTGCTGTTCTTGGTCTGAGCGAAGAGTCACATCGCTTGTCTACATAAGTGACTAAAGAGAGTGTTTCGAGACTGCTAATTATGTCTTTAAAATCGATACTCGTAAGGGGATGAAGAGACTGCTCGTGCTTGCAGAGTGTACAATAAACATCATAAAGCGCTTTGATACTGGGTGCGTTGTCTTTTGTTTTTGATGGAGTCGCCATAACGTTTACGGGCGCCTCCCTCTTGCGCTTCTCTAGGGCGACTAATGCACATAGAGCTGCTTTCTGTTGAAGGTTTAAAGACCTGAGTCGATGATTAGCGCCATTTCCGAACGTCAAAGACGTGATTTTGTTGACGTGAGATATGGAAGCTCTTGGGGCTGTCTCAAACGTGAGTTTTCCAAGAGAATCTACCAGAGATTTTCTTGAAATTGTCTTTTGGCAAGAAGGGATGTTTAAGTTCCCTGTAAGATTTTTGAGAGGGCTTTCTGAATATGTGTCCTCCGACAGTGCTTGCTCGTGTCTCTGTTTAGTTTGCAGTTCAATCATATCTATTGCTCGTCTACAAATATCAAAAGCTTTCCTGAGGTCTCCAGACTGACTTGATACCTTGCGGGAACAAAGCTCAATCGCTGAAGGGTGCATGAAAGGGACAAAGTCTGAGTCTGCTCTTTCTGTAGGAATCAATGACCTTAACCGAGTAGTGATTACTTCTTTTATTTGATGAGCCGTATATGGTAGGAACGGAAGGACCTCGGGCCTTAGATCGTGAGCTTTGAGGCGAGGAAGGAAGCGATCTGTCAAGTCCAATGCGTTCGCGATGCCCAGTAGAATCAAATGTGTTTTCTTTTGAAGAGCCCATTCAAATAATTTGTAGAGGATATTTAAATCCAGAGAAAGAATGTGATCAATCTCATCCAGCGTGACGATATATGAAATTTTGGTACTATTTTGAGGAACAAACAAACTTTGTAGAGTTTCCACCTCTTGGCCCTCATATACATCGATATCACTGCAAAAAGCCTCAAGAAATTGATCGTATAGATCGCTCGACGCGGTTATACTCATACAATTGATATACAACTTCTTTAACACTTTAGAAGTTTCAAACTTCTTAGTAACTTCCCCGACCATCGCACTCTTTCCAGTCCCAGCTGGGCCACTTATGTAAATACATCCACCGGAGTTTTTCGAGATTCTGTTCGCAATAAAATTTACTAATTTTTCACGTTCCTCATCTCTTCCCACTAATTGACCGGGCTCAGAGCTTCGTGAAAATATTTGCCGTGCCTGACTGTAGATTGTGATTATAGACCCACCAGGGGTCATCGGTGTTCGGGGAGTAAAGGATGTTCCATTTAGTGTAATCCTATGTCTAGGAGTAACAGGTACTTTCTTCGAAAACGCGTCTCTATGGCGCGGGGTCTGGGGCGTAGGATTTTGGGCAGGTGACGACTCATCTTTAACTACGACTTTTTTTTTTACTTTGCTCTTTCCCTCTATAATTTCTTTATCGAACATTACAGTTCTATTCCTAAGCGTACGTGTAGTAGGCGTCGATCTAGTGAGCGCTGATCTGGGTAATCGATCTGCCTTTTTTGGAACTTCATCGTTGCTTGATTTGTTTATCGTTGGTCCCAAAAAAGGATTGTTTTCTTCATCATAATAATTTTGTGCACGAGCTTGGCGTTTAGAAGGGGGAAGTGACACTCGAAATTAGTTAGTTACCATGAACCTTGCCACTGAAGCTGAAGTTTACCTGGGGAAGTTGCATGACGGGATCTCTTACCCAAATTGTTCGAAGCCATGAGTTATACCTTCTGATTAGATTGTAGGACAATGAGTTGACGCGGAAGGGCAGGTGGACGGAAAGATGGTATTGGAAGAATATCACAGCAACGACGCGTCTGGGGTGTGAACGCGACAGAGCACGGACTCGAGGCTTCTAGGCAATCGCCGAGGTTCGCTACGAGCGCCCGCGACAGGTTCCTTGTAGCTCAGAAATAACCAACACGGGCATATTCCAAGCAGAGCAATCCAATAACTTTGGCTATAAAAACTGAAACCTAAGCTCTGTATGTTATGAAACAAGATACAAATTGATAAAATATTGCCATCAATTATCCTAATCTCCATAAACAAGACATGCCTTATCAAGCGCTCTCTTAATGATCATGCATCAAATTTCGCGCTACTAGAAGTTGGATTACAAGCATCTTTGGGATTTCATTGACCATTCTTAGTGTAATGAATTAAAAGGCATGTAGGTCCTCTTTTTCTACCAGTCAAGGGTGCTTGCACCTCCTCAGCAGTCTCAACGTAAGGGCTCAGCCCTCAGGGGTGTCATTTGATCACCTACTTAGAAATGCTTATGGTCTAAATCTACAGGGTAAAATGCGTTGCTCCATGACCGAATTAAATGCGTTACGCGAACGCTATCTATTCGTTTAAACATGGCGCCTGAATTTTCGGCGTGTAGCCCGAAGTTCGGTTGACAAGCGTCAGTCGCTGACTAGTTCCGATAACAGCAAGATTCCGTGGGCCGTTCAGTCTTCATGATATTTGAAAATACTTTTACTCAGCACCGTCCCTAAAAGCTCGTATGTCTCTCGCATGCTAGCTTTTCGGGCACCGCTCGTTCGCCTGAACCCACAAGCCATTGGCATCGCTCTACAACAAAACTCCGCGTTTGTGAGTGGTAGAACAGTGGAAATCGATGAAATAGTCTCAATTCTTCGTCGGATTTTATCGTAGTGCATCCAGTTAAGTTTCTATCCGGTTAGTTTTGGCTCTTCATATATATAAAACCTTTGTAGAGATGTCAAATACGTATGGAACATTGAATGAAGATAATTCTCTGCACAGACATTCGAGGGATGGTGAAGAAAGTCCCATCATTGGGCCTCTACGAATCCGTAAAGGAAATGAAATTCATCATCGAAAAAATAAGTCATCCATTACGGCCTCTCAGAGAAGCCTAAATTCGATAGAGTCATCAAATTCAGGCGCCCAAGAAATAAACAAGCTACATCGGCCCGATGATCTCAGCATGTATTCATTCGAAGGATCGGACGGTAAACTTCAAAGTTCCAGACAGCTAGGGAATCAAGATCACGAGGGGCCAACAGATACCGTACAGAAATTTTCGTCTCGTGCCAACGATGTCGCCCTAAACCTATCGCCTGATCTCGAGAAAAAAAGTCTCAATCTAGCAACAAGACGAGGATCCAGAGTATTACCGATAACTGAACAGTCCGGCTCAAAAAGATTTGACCATGAAGTTCTTCCAGCCAAGCAGTTTAGCAGAGATACCAAACATCTCAACCAAAAATACAAGTATCCTGAACTTAGCAAACCTCGTCAGACTCCTTTAGAGCGTCTCAACCCTACCAACAGCCCCAATCATACAACTGCGACGACAAAGGGAATGAAGCGATTTTCATCCGCAGCTTCTATCTCGACAACACGCGCCTCGAGAGGATCGCCGCCTCCACCAGAAACACCGATGACAGACTCGTACGAGCTATCATCCCCCAAAAATCTGCAAGGATGGTCGGGATCTATTACCCGTGATAGGTCGCAAACTATGACTACGGCGCAAAGCTTAAATTACACACCGGCAAAATTTACCCAAGTCCCTAAACCTATGGATTCTGTCTCTGCTCAGATTGGCGATACTAGACCATGGACGCCGACGGAATCGGAGAATAGTAAACTCCATAGTTCTCAGACTGTGTATCAGGGATCTAGCCGTTTCGCGCGTTCTCAGTCATCTAAAGAAGGTGGAAGATCACAGTTACTTGAGCAAGAGTTGCAGCAAATGCATCTATCATATTCTCCACCACCGGCATACTCCAGTGTCTCTTTGAGAGCTAGTGAAAATATGCAACAAATTTCTTGTAATGAAAAACGAATTAGACCTCCAGCTACAACCCATGTAGTCCCCAAGCCCAGTATCATATCTCCTCCCAACACCCCTGGAATACAGTATCCAGGCCATCCTGCCTTTTCTAATGATGCACGGCGAGAGAATTTAAATTTGCGGTCAGCTGCACAAATGATTCCAGCTCAAAAGCTCCAAAATGCGCAGCCATCGCAAGATGCTGGACCGAGTTCCCCGCCTCCCTTGCCAGAGGGATGGATCTCGCACCTAGATCAAAACTCAGGGCATTATTACTATATACATCTGCCGACGCGAGCAACACAGTGGGAGTTCCCTAAAGGCCCAACTCCGCTTAACCATGACGTACCTCCATTCCCTCCAAATCTATCCACGTACGGCAACCCCCTTTCATCTCCTCGGCTTGGTACATTTATTAAAACTCCTCTTGCATCTCCTGGATTTTCTCCTTGTACCCCAGGCTATACTGACAGTACCATGAGTGTTGGCTCCCACAATTCCATGATGGCTGGATATTCAGGACCCCCACCAAGTTCTGGAGTTGATATGTATAAAATAGCGCCAACAAATGGTGTTTATTTTGGGCCATACCTTAGATATATAAATATGAACATTGAAAGAGGTATTTGGCTCGGATCAATTATGCTTGTGACAGATGCAGGACAGCCTCCAACAATTCATATCCATCAGAGTGTTGATTTATCTCCGAATCCACGGCAACTTGTTCCAAATCCTATTTCGACACATCAAAGATGGACATTTTATCGATATGATGTGGATCTTCAAATGAGCGATAGTGTAACTAGTCAGTGGACTTATGCCGTTACATCTCATCTTGGATGTTCGCGTTTTGAGTTTGTCATAGCAGGTCGTCAGGAGAAAAGATGGAGGTTCATTGCTCAATCTGGCAATGATTTTGCGATAAATACTAGTGTGAATGAGCGTTCAAAGCTGGGTGGCACTGATCTCATGTGGAAAGATGTGTTGCAAAAAAATAAGGACTGTGGTGGGTTCCATGTTCAGCTAGGCCTTGGTGACCAAATATATGGAGATAGGTTGTGGAAAGAGATTCCTTTGCTAAAGCAATGGCTTGCTATAAGCGGCAAAGAAAATAGGAAGGGTGCTGCTTGGACTGCGCGGCATGAAGAAGATGTCCTTCACGCCTACTTCCACTATTACACCAGTCATTTTGACCAACCCTACCTCCGGGAAGCATTTGCTCAAATCCCTCACATGATTCAAATAGACGACCATGACATGTGAGTAAAGATAGACACCTTGGGTTCAATGTCGAAATTAACGGGTCATACTAGCTTTGACGGCTTCGGATCTTACCCCGAATCCATGCAATTATCCAACATTTTCAAAAACATTGGTCGTATTGGACTCGAAACATACCTATTGTTTCAACACCACACTACACTAAATACTCTCAGGAAAAACCAAAACGATTTAGACCTCTTCACTATTACTGGTTCTAGTTGGCACTTTTTACGATACCTCGGCCCTGCAGTTGTTGTTGTAGGGCTTGACTGTCGCTCTGAACGTAACCAACGTCAGATTCTCGCTGGCTCTACGTATCAAGGTATTTTCCCCAGAATCATGAGCTTGCCACCTAGTGTGCAGCATTGCATTTGGATGATATCCAAGCCAATCATCTTTCCACGGCTTGATACAGTAGAAAGCATAGCACATACAATTACAACAGCCAAAAAAGGTGTGACAGGAACTTACAACTTACTTGGGAAGATGACAAGCTCAGTAGCTGGAGTCGTTGGCGGTAAACAAGCAGTTGCATCTGGGTTTTCACAAGTCAAGAGGGCTGTTGGCAAGTCTGGACTGATGGGTGGTGTACTGAATGCATTTGGTGATATTGATCTTGCAGATGAGCTTCGCGATATGTGGACTCATGAATCAAAAGACTTAGAAAGGACGTACATGATTCGGACATTGCAAGGAATTTCTCTCCAAAAGGGGATTCGAATGACATTTGTCTCTGGAGGTACGTTGCAAATCTGTTGAAAGGGACATGATTACTAATAGGGAGTAAAAGATGTGGGTTGTAGTGGTGCAGGACTAGTGCATGATCCTTCTCATCCGGGCGACTATAAGACCATGTACCAAGTTATAGCATCACCGATAATTGCTGCGCCTGCTCCGAATGTCTTGCTCAAGATGTTACATAACAATAAGACCCTTTACGTACCAGTAAATGGACAAAAGACTTCTAATGCTGTTTCCGACACGAAAGAGGATATGATGGAAATTTTTCAATCTGATACAAATGGTGTGGCTCGTGATATGAAGAAGTTAATGGGTCGCCGAAATTATGTTACTTTTACAGTATATAGTCCCATGGATTTTGTCCCTACAAATCAGATAGCTACCACACCTCATGGATCGCAGAAAAAAGTTATAGAGAGGTTATGTTTAGCAATTGATTTTGTTGTGCAAGATGATGGAAACTATGTTGCGCCGACAAAATATGGACCTGTAATTATACCAAATTTGGAATAGGTTTGCAGATGTTTACAAGTACAGCTTCTCAAAGAAATTTAAAGCTCGGAACAGAAATTAAATCGTTAAGTTGAACCCAGAAGGTGAGATCCGGCACGTAAAGTAATCACTTGGTCGATGGTATCATTTAGACCATAAATCAGACAACGTTTGAGTTTGTTTTATTAACCTTAATCTGGATCCAAGTTGATCACCCCAGTGCGGAGCTGCAACCTTCTAACATTAGAACAGTTCAGATATGCACTAACTGTGGTCAGTTCTTGTAATATCTATGGAAAAGCTCGAAATTCTGATTCAGCTTCGTGCCACCATCAAACTAATCTAACAGTAAGAAGCTAGTTTAATGTATGAACTTTAGCCAAGCCTCTTATACAATGGAGAAATAATAGGCTTTTTGTTCGTATAGTTGTATGAGGATCTATTAATTGTTGCTCCAAATAAATCGTTGACGCCTCTTGCCAATGTGTTAGGATCTAGAGATCTAGCATCATTTTATCATGTACCAGTCTTATCAATGTTAATCATACAATATTTCAGTGGTATAAATTAGGGTTGAATCCGCATTTAATCGACGCTCACAATATCAACTATTGATGACCTTAAATAAGTCTAAGATGAAGTTAAGATGGCGCACATTGCCGAGGGAAACCGGTCAAACCCAGGTCTTAGATGCACTTCCTTTGCTTAAAGACAAAGGAGGATAAGTTAGACGACTGCGGAGTGATTAGAAAATTTATGATATTGAACCTTGTGGAAGTGATGTTGTGTTTGGTCCACTTTGGTGTAGTTAAGTTATCTACCTGAAGAGTTTCAGAATCTTTGAACGAATGTAGTGTATATTGTTACTTCTTTTGCCCTTTTTTGTCTACATCCTATTGTTAAAGCCGATGCGCGTTAAACGTAATTTAATACGAAAATAATTCAATCAGAAGTATTATTAGGGGATTGTAGTCTATCGCCGTAATGTGTAAGGCTCAGAACAAATTTCGCTGTATTAACTACTGATCGAGTTGTTCGGTAAAATAGTGATGGATTCTCTGAACTTAAGGGAGGGCAGTAATTTTATATTCACGTCAATCACAGAGGCTGAGATCTCTTAAGTCAGCTAAAACGACTAGGACTTAGCATTATGTACCCAAAACTCCCAGCGCAACTTTTGAATGGTCGTGAGGCATTTCTGATATTGCCTATAAAATACTTGAAAGATGAATCAAGAGTTAGTTTTTAGACGAATAGTGGCTCATCAATATACTGGTGACTTTAATTTTTTCAGACTGATTAATTTCATAATAGTCATATTGGGACTAGATTCTAGTATTCTGGTTAGCCTTAGAAATTTAGATTTTTCAGTAAAGTTGTTACCAATTAGAAGCTGTCTAACCTGCTGAAAACTGATCCAGGTTTGAAGGTGGAAAAACTAGAGAAGGATAAGGAATATAGGCATGTTTATGTATAATATTTGACGAAGCCCAACGTCTCTTTTGCTAGCGACTGGATAACAACCTCCGGTAAGAAGCCAGTAAAGCAAAGTTAAATTAAGACAGCGACGTTGCAACTCTTTGGGGTATGAAAATATTATTTTCCAAGCATATCAGACTAAGACGGAGAAAACTGATGGCAGTTTCTAGATAGAAGACTTCATCGCCATGGGCAGCTATTGTGATGACTTTCAGGGCAAATTTGTTCGTTGTAGGTCATCTAGTGACCTGTTTTTTTCACGACTGGCCAGGCTTAGATAAAAACTGAGATTGTTTCGGTGCGTCTAGCTGGGTCTTTAACGAGAAAACTTCGAGTGAAAGTCGGTTAATTTTGTCCTCTTGATTTTTCTTTGTTGTCTCCATCATCTGGACCTTTTCAGTTAGATGTTTGACCTTATCCTCGAGAGTCTGTACATAAACCCATACACCCCTTTCCCTTGAGGAAAATAGGTTGTTGTTGGGATTAACGTCAATGCTACTCTGATTTAGCTGATGGGAAGAGATACGGATACCAGTAGAAATTTGTGCGTCAGATGAGCTAGCCGTTATGGCTGAAGGGACTTTTCTACAACTAGATTGAGTAGATTCTTGGCTAGACAATTTGTACTGTTTCTCGGTCGGCGCAAGACTAGCAAGGGCAGGAAGTTTTGGTCCCGCTACTTCGCCGAGAGAATTTGAATGCGCTATTCCAGAAGATGTCTTCGTGGACAATAAATTTCCAAGGCAATGTTGCTGAAATCGGAAATCTAAACGGGGTGATCTTTGTCTGTTCATGGCAGGGTCAATAGTGACTGAGCTTAGTGACTTGGAGTTCTCCGGTAATGTTCCTTGCGTAAAAAGTGAATTATTAGAAGGATTTGACGTCAACGTCGGCAAGTTGGACCCGGAGGTGTATTCGCGAAGGCTAGTGCCTTTCACATGAGAAACAATAGTGTTTCGGATGCTCCCTCTATCTTCTGGTAGAGGGTAGGTAACCCTTGAAGACCTTTTAGAGTGGGATACCGGGGAAATGTAAGAGCCTGGTGCCTGATTTGAAGGCCGTAGATCTCCAATTTTTAGACCACCGTTACTTTCTTGCCGTCTTGAATGATTATATTTTCGACTTTCCTCTGTCAAGCTTTCTGTATGATTAGGTGGTAGCGTGCTGTTGCTGTACATAACACCGTCCATGGCACTTACTTTGCCATCTCCAGTATTTGGATCCTCTAGATCTTCATCACCACCAAAGCTCCCAATACTAGACCTTCTTACTGCACAGCCCCCTTGTCCCTTGATATGTCGAGCTAGAGCATCACCCCTTGCAAACTTGCGATCACATTTTGGACATATATGGGGACGTTCACCAGTATGCAATTTCATGTGTCGCTTTAAATCGTGAAGTCTTCGAAATCGCATGGCGCATGTTTGACAGATGTACGGTTTTTCTTGACTGTGCGTCAGTAAATGGCTTTTTAGGTTGTGATGCCGGGTAAATTCGGTATCACAATACGGGCATTTATGTTTTTTTTGGGTGAGTAGCCTAGGTGGTAGCTGTTGAGCTGGCTTTGAAAAGGCGATACCTTGGGAAGTACATTTCTGTGGATTTTTCTGCGTGATAACGTCTCTAGCGCTTGGGGTTATTCTTTTTAAGGATTCTTCCTCTAAGACCGTACTTGATTGAGGAATACTTCCAAATCTCATTTCACTTGTTTCAGGCAGGGTGTTTGTGCTTGTCCTTCTTGAAGCTACATCAAATATTGAGCCTAATGGAGAGGGTACAGTTTTTCTCGTGCGCGTGTGGCTTATAGTACTTCCTGGAGTATTATCTAGACTTTCATCGGTTCTCGTCGGGCTAGATGTCTTTCCAATCTTTTGCATAGAAGTCGTACAGATGTTTGCCTGACTAGGAATAGATGCATTCAAAAGTGTGAGAGGATTTAAATTATTTGGCTTATCTGACCCTGATGCCATTATAGTCTGAATTTACCAATGTGCTTGATTTTCTCAAGGATTTTTTACTCGGAAAATTTCCGTTTGTAGCGTTTTTGTTGCCAGTAAGTGCCTCCTTCACGGCCTAGTGTACATGACTTGTCCAAATTCTTGATGGGTAAAGCAACTCAATTCGTAATCTTCACTAACGTGTTAGATAAGGTTTAACTTTCATGGTTGAAGACGCAGCTATACATTAATTTGATGCGCCAGTGATTGACGACTGCAGCGTCGAGCTCGTAACGTGGAATTCGGGTAAGAGTAAAATGCGTTACTGTCGTTGCGCCACATAATAAGACCAGATTAATTAGCTTAGCACATATGTATTGGAGAATTATGGCCCTAGAGGTTGAGGCAAGAGTATCAGTGGAGGGCCCCGAGTGTAAGCTTCCAAGAATTTTTGAACAACTGCGTTTAGGTATCGAGAAGGATAGTTGATAATTCATATGATCCCAACATAAAGACATTTGGAATACAGTGTGTTGAAAGGGCTGTCATATTGGGGTCGGGGGAGCTAGCCAGGTTCTAGCTGGAAATTCCAGCCAATGGATCAAAATTTTGGCAATAAAGACGGAGCTTGCTTGTGTAAGTGTTAGTATGACTACTTGGGCTACGTTCACGTCTCTGTGATGATGTTCGAGGTATCAAACTCTTGCAACCATCCGAAGAACAAGGACCTAGTATCTGTCAGCAGTATCCACTACGAATCTGGAAAAAATTGTTGTCCAATAGCTGGAAGTAGGCCAAAATTCAAAATCCACATGGCGGATCTTGAGCTGATAGATCAAACACCGCTCATCGCCCACAACATAAATTTAAATCATGTCAAAACCGAACTCCATCTACGAATAAAACCTTGAGGAACTCTTCTTTCAACAATTATATATTTTATCTTATCAGTCTTTGGCACTGACAAGTTTCAATACTCTCCCGCAACTCTATGAATCGTCAGCCTCCACTACCTAGAAGAATAAAATCTGTAGTAAACAACTCTGAATTTATTTAACATAACTAGTCTTTTTAACGGATATTCTAGAAATACTCTAGAGCCATTGATTTAGTGAAGACTACAACAGATCTAAAATCTAAAAATGCTGTGAACATCTGCTGGACCACTCAGTTAGCGGCGTATAATTCTGACTAGATGGGTCTCTTAGAAGAACGTAAGAGACAGAAGTAAAGACAAATGAACTTAGATTAATATAGATATAATTCTGTAGAAGAATAGAGATGACGTTGGAAATAAATTTCTAACGATGAGGCGTATTCTGCTCGCCGAGAAATTTTTCACAAAGTAGCCAACACTTAGAATAAATATTGAAACTGAAAGTGTTTCGGTCCGCACCTATATTAGCTCAATGAAAAATAAACAGATAAATTGTGATACCTGCCTTTCTCAAGTTTTAAATGACTAGCTCATTGTACAGATGTCACAATTTCAGGGAAAATTCGTAGCTAATGTCTTCGGTTATACTCACAAAGGTTTTTGGTCAATTTACCACTTTTCTGTGCCGAATATTTCTTTAACTGAATGTCCATCCAGGTCTTTTTTTGCATCAGATTTTAACTATGTATTCAGCTATCTAGCTATGTCAAAATGTCAAAGAAAAGTACAGAAAAGACGACTCAATTTGCAAGAGTGCTCATGCCTCAGCTTTCATTTGCAAGTACCACTGCGAAGTTATGGCGGCTTTTCTTCACCCCAAGTCAACCCTTATCCGTGAATACCCACTCAGGGGAACATCTCAGAAACACTGAGGTATCCAGACATGCCTCCATTATCCATTTACTTTTCTCCGCGTGAAATTTGGTCTCAGGTGTCTCCTTCCCAAGTGGAGTAGGTGCCCAGGCTACTCAAATTATACTAGAGAACACCACCAAGAGGTAGACCACGGCACCTTCCATCGTTAGCTTGACTTCATAGTGTCAGCTACACTTTCACAAGCGAAGTCTTGTCGCGCAGAAAGCTTAATTCGTGAAGCTCCTTCCCAAATTTTAAGATCACACGCCCATCGAGATTGTATCCATCCTGCGTGCCATCTTGTTAACTTGTCCTAATCCCTCTCAAGTCCACTCCAAAGAACTGTCTTCCAGAATTGTGCGCCACACTTTGTTTCCTCCGTCGGGTATAAATATCAGCCAGGGTATGTATTTGGTGGCAAGATTAGGCCAGAGAATAGTCGATGAGAAGTGTGGTCATTGAAATGATGACGTACTAGGCCGTACTTGTAAGCTTGATGGGGTTTCCGTGGAGATCGACCTCGTTGGGTGGGAGAGCTTGAGTTCGTAGAGAGTCTCGGATCATTGCCTCGTGTGTCAATTTCTTCAGAATTGCGAAATTTGACTGAACTTGGCTCTGGGAGTTTATTTCACTTCCAGGTTTGTAGAGGACACCGCGTACAGGTATTCAGTTTTTGTCCTCCCCATCGTTGAGTTGTGTTTATAGTGTTAGCTGCGCTCTCTCAAGCAAAGTCTTGGCGGGCACAATGCTCAACTAGTAGAACCCTTGCCAAATTTTCAAGTTTCACGTCCATCGTGATTATATCCTTCCTTTCCATCATCTTGTAACTTGTCGCGATTTCTCTTTCGCCCATCCCAAATAACTGTACCCCAGACTTAAGCTCCAAGCTTTGTTTCCTTCTTCGGGTATGTATATCAGCGTCGGCGTATACTTGGTGGCCAGCTGAGGCCATAAAAAGTCGACAAGAGGAATGGCAAAAGAAAGAAGTATGTAATGTGTCGTACTTATAACCCCGATGTTTTTTGCAGGAATTCATGTTACTGTGAGTGAATGATTGATATGTTGGATTATCTTGAAACATTTCCCCTTTGGTCAATTTCACCGGTACTGCGGAATTTGACTAAACTTGGCTTAGGGAGAATATTTCACTCCCATATTCAATGAGGACATCGTGTACAGGTGTTGAGTCTTTGCCCCCTTTGGTTTCATGCTCCCGAGTTGGGCAACTCGAGGATTTTCAGGCATTTCCCGATAGGGCTAGTTCGGTTATAAATATCACTTCACATTCCGGCACGCATATTGCACAATATTTTCATAAGTATATTTCTGCATGTAAAACTTGGAGAGATTTTCGTCTGAATGTCAAGTGAATCGTCAAAAGATGAAAGCGAAACCAAGAATTAATTGATTAATTGTCTCCGTGCTACGAGTCCATCGTAGCACTATAATATCTAGTTCAGGGTTTCTTAGCTGTGTGTCTAAGGAGGTTGAGCAGACATGAGCGAATATCGTCAGTGTGTAATAGGACGAGGATATATCTGAAATGGAATCTCAACTTGATTCTATCTGATAATCACTTACGTTGGAACAATCACTATACGCGCATAGGGGGACTATTCTCAACACCTGTCAGTGGTGTCCCCTACGAACCTCCAGCTCTCACTGTAGAGTCTGCAGAGCCAAGATTGAGTAACAAAGTCCTCGCTTCGATGAGGATTCCCAATCTCTTTCACGGTCTGTATCGTCTTCATCTCTCAACACATTCCCCTATCACCATCATTATGAAGCTAATCACGATCAAATCAGATGTTAGGGTCGAAGCCCTAATCATCACCAACCCTTGATTATGGAGGATAAGCCGTCTGATGAGTTTCCGGAACGCACCTAGCACCCGGTACGTCGATGGCGGATTGGATCAAGTCGACCTCGACTGTTACAAAGAAGGTAGATATAGATGAATATGCGCACCTCATGTGGTCCCGGTGTCTAGGGCTCGCCCGGCTGGGGATGCAGGTTTTTTGAGACTTTTTCCCGCGCACGCAGTTTTTGTAGCTACTAACTTTTAATTATTTGGGTAGAAGGATCCGGGGAAAAGGTGGCCGAATTCCACGGGTAAACACTGAGCTGGATGGCTATTCATCAAGGGCAATATATCAATAATCTTTCAAGTAACAAAAGAGGATAGGATCACTGTACAAGGTGTGGCCTGGGTCAGAGAGGAGCCCAATGTGCTAGATAGTCATAGACTCAAGTAGTACAATAAAACACACACACTAATATCTAGTTCTACCCTACTGACGCCCCTGATCATCATTACTAATCTGACATGCCTGCACGCAAATCGTGCTTTCGCTTTTGGACTGGATCCAGACTTATGCAAGCATAAGTCTGCTTACACTGCATAACTGATAGTCATGAAGCGAGGATTGGGCACACACAAATGTGCGGGACGGCATTACATAATTCAAAGTCGTTTCAGTATTGTGAGCCAGAAGAGAGGCTACATGTTTCTTTCTTCTCGCACCTTTTGGATAATCTTTATGAAACATTTCTAACTTTGTACACTAGAATTCGTCCTCATTTTCAGATACGGGCCCTGCAACATACTCTATCCACGGGTTACTTTTATAGTGTGTGAGGTACACAATTTCAGAGTACATAGGAGATGGCGCCGATTCCCTGCGCAATATGCAAGGACTCCCGAGCACTGATAGTCAGACCTAAAAACCATCAAAAGTTATGCAAGAACTGCTTTATATCAGTCTTCGAAGAGGAAGTTCATCAAACAATTTCATTCACTAAAATCTTCTCACCTGGAGAGCGGATAGCAATCGGTGCCTCTGGTGGGAAAGATTCTACTGTTCTTGCATCTGTCCTTAAGACCCTCAATTCTAAATATAATTATGGCCTTGAACTTGTTTTATTGAGTATAGATGAAGGTATTAAAGGATATCGAGACGACTCCCTCGAGACAGTCAAGAACAATGCCATTCAATACGACATGCCCCTTAAGATTGTTGGATATGATGAATTATATGGCTGGACGATGGACCAAGTTGTTGAAACAATTGGCAAAAAAGGAAACTGCACTTACTGCGGGGTGTTTCGTCGTCAAGCATTGGACAGAGGAGCCAAGATGTTAGGAATTAAACATGTAGTAACGGGACATAATGCAGACGATCTAGCCGAAACTATCCTCATGAACCTACTTCGAGGGGACTTGTCTCGTCTAGCACGGAGCACGAACATAATGACTGGTGATGATTCAAGTGATGTTCGGAGGAGTAAACCGCTAAAGTACGCCTACGAAAAAGAAATTGTACTCTATGCCCATCATAAGAAACTTGAGTATTTTACGACCGAATGTATTTACAGTCCTGAAGCTTTTCGAGGAAGTGCCAGAACGCTCATTAAAAACCTTGAGCGTATACGTCCAAGCGCAATTCTAGACGTTGTTCGAAGCGGTGAAGACATGGCCAAAATGGTTTCGGAAGAAGCTTCTGGATTTGATCACTGCAGAAGCCAAGGACCACAAATTAATGAACAAGAAGGTGAAGAAGGCACGGGCGGCTGTGGAGGCTCCAACGGAAGGACAAGTGGCGGTGAGATGGCAGAAATGGAAAAATTGCTTATTGAAAACGAAATAGCTTCCTCGAGAGAAATTAATTTCACTTCAGGATCAATTATTGAGGGTGAAAACCCGGCCAAAAAAATACTTCAAACGAGTGGGACTCAGCCTAAAAAACAATCCCAGCCGAAAGTAACTCGACAGACATTAGGCACTTGTAATAAATGTGGTTACATGTCAAGTCAACAAGTATGCAAGGCTTGCTCACTTTTAGAGGGTCTAAACAAGAATCGGCCAAAAATTGAAATTGAGATATAGGAGTATCGAATTAGGGTTTTCTTCCTTCTGTCAATAGTTTTGGAAAAGCAACGTTCGTCCTGGAGATGAAAATTACCAATAATTCATACAGCCCCCTTTCATTAATCTCGATTTGATCTTGTTAAAGCTAAGCCTCCAGTTTAAAATTTATTGGAAGTTTCAGACTTCAATACAGCTGGTATGGTCTAAATTGGGTCGAGAATGTAAAGACGGTCCTATGATTGCCTATTTTGAAGTAACGAAGAATAAGTTTTTTTTAATTATTAAAAATCCCAATACAGCTCTATAGATAAGAGAGCTTACTCCGAAAAAAATAAGACAAGTGAGGGGATATACATGTCTTTCACAATATAGACTGATAGTATTATGTGGCTGAAAGATTCACCAAGATAATAACGGTATTTATTAGTATATTCTACAAAGCTTCTGCAATAATAAAAGGTTTATTTGAATCTAAATTTTCGCACATTTTTGTTTCTATTAACTGAGTAATTACTGTTTAAAATATGACATCTATATCCTTGGGTATACTATCAGGGGTCGAAGACTAATATACCAAGCTCATATAGTATGGAAGGTAGGATCATCTTAAAAACTAGTTAAGCCCTTTCTCCCCAAATGGCTAGGAAGATTCGAATAAATTATTTAGTACGTATTTTGATTTCATTTCATTTTGCCCTTTTGGGTACCCTATGGGCACATGCAGGAATATCTAGCTATAATTTTTACAGAAACTAACTCGGTAAAAACCCCCGAAAGCTGTACGTCTTAGGTCTATTGATTCGTCGGAGATTTCCTACAGAAAGTGCGTTTACACCGCTCATGTGTGATAAAACCAATCTGGCTATGATGAAATTCGATGTATTGAACTAATTAAAGAAGAAAGAAAACTACTGCTACCAAAGAAGGATACTTATAATCCTTTCTAACTCGTCCCTTCCTTCAGTTTTAGATAGACCTGTAACCGGAAATTCTTTCATTATAACTCATATATTACCTCATTCCAACCCAAATTTCATCTAAGATGTCTTCTTATACGCCATTCCCATGTTTTAGAAATGATGTAACCACCTTCGATCTTGCTTAGGTGCCTGCCTAAGCCACAACATGGTCAACCCGTAACATCATACGTTGTGAATTCCGACCTATCCTTGTCCACATCGTCTCATCTTTTCGTCCAATCTAATTTCTACTTCTCCTGCGAGCCGGAATTGTTCAAACCAGCCTTTTACCCGGATCCAATTTGTGATCCTTTCCATATCATCTGGGCTGTTCTTTTTTTTAATTCATTAAGTGTATGCAGCCTAACTAGCTATTGTTTTGAATATCATGAATCTGATCTAGAGGAGTCGGCTCGCGGCAGATGCGTGGTGCCTGACAAGTCTCATACCTGGGATGCCCTGCCACCACGCAACAACAAGCAACACAACGGAGTTAAGGAGCCATCGCCAAGGAGTGTCTAGTATCAGAGGTATCATGTCATGAGTATTCATCTTTACTTGACTGATACATGGTTAGTGGGTTATGCAACTGAGTCAAGGAGCCACCACTAGGGAACATAGTATCTCCGGGGTTCTGTGTCATGAATATACGTCTATGATGTAGTGGCACATAATTAATAAGGGATACGGATGAGTCAAGGAACTCTCCGTCGGAGTTGGAGAAGGACTGTTGTGGTCATGTAGAATGAAGACAAGCGAGGGAGACATGTATATAACAGAGTAATAACTCTGCAAGTAGATATCATTAATCAGCCATTCTAAACTCTCATCTACTACAGTCTCAACTCACTTACAGATAGACCCCAACAGCTCACTAGCTTGCACACCAGCCTGATCAACTAATTGTACAGGTATTTCTCTATCCACTCATAACCCAGTTTCATAACAGCTATGACACTAAAATCTAGGCTGTTCATCATTGCCGCAAAGGATCTATCTTTTGCTTTTCAAAGTACCTCTCTTCTTCCCATTACCCATTGAAGACATGCCAAGACCAAATTTTTGACATTTTGAGACGGATATTCACACTGAAATTTTGGAATAATCACTCCGGGTACTTTCTTTCGATACAGATAAGTATTGAGACCAATATGCTCACTCTTTATCTGAACTGCAATGCTGCTTTGGGCCCTGCTAAGGTTCCGGTGGATATTTGTTGGTGTGTTACTGTAGGTAATTCCTTTTCTGCCTGTTGTCTCATCTGTAACAATATTTGATCTAATAAATGTCGTTAGAAGCTAGAATAATTGGTGATATCAAGAAGGCCACATTGTTCATACACAAGGGACTACAAATTCTGTACATAGTTTCATTCCGGTAGCTACTTAATTTAATTCGCTCTACAACCTCAATGACTAAGGGGTCAATTTTCCTCAATAAATGTTACTAATTAATTTTATTGTCTTTTCTAAGTCTATGACTATATAGGACAGGCGGGAATAAACATTATGAAAAGATCAGGCGTACTTTTGCGACACGGGCCTTATTGAAAATTCAACATATTATTTATCGAGACTAAGTTTAAAGGCGGTTACGAATCATTAACGTGCCAATTAAGATCAGGGGGATCCGCTTGAATCATACCTCAACGTTGCAAGCTTGACTACGGTGAATGAAAATATGGACCTTTAACGATTGGCCTATTTTCTTATTTTTTATTATTCAATTTTACTTATTTCGCACCTTGAGGCCCATGCAGGTTCAATCAGAAAATATGTGCTTTGAGTAGGATGACACAATTTGACGTTTAAAACACTCACACTCAGATGTCATTTGCAGATACCATTCGAGGTTAACCCTTACGGCGTATAACCCCTTCCGTGCATTCCCACCACAGGGACAAGCGTGAAAAAACCCATGGATATCCAAGTGTGCTTTTATCATCACACAATCACAATATCACCGCGAGAGAGAATGGGGATAAGGATTTTCCTGGACATGGACTAGCTTTCCCTAACCTCAGTTTGGGGTGGATGTTCAAGCTACCCTGAATCTACTGGGGAGAAAGGCCCGAAAAGGTTTACCAGTGCACCATCTAGCCCAGTTTGATTAGCCGTCCCATACATACCGACCAATTTATTTCGATGCAATACAAAAGGTTTTGTAAGCAGACTTGTGCTTGCATAAGTCTGGATCCAGTCCAAAAGCGAAAGCACGATCTGCGTGCAGGCATGTCAGACTAGTAATGATGATCAGGGGCATCAATAGGGTAGAACTAGATATTACAGTGCTACGATGGACTCTTAGCACGGAGACAATTATTCAATGCATTCTTGTATTCGCTTTTACCTGTTGACGATTCACGCGACATTCGCACGAAGACCTCTCTAAGTTTTACAGGTTTCAATGTGAAGTTTTTCTGCATTAGTTTTTAACTGCGTATGCATATTTCTAGCTTTGACACAATATCGGAGAAAAAGTGCAGAAAAAATAACGTAATTTACAAGAGCACTCATGCCTCAGATTCCAATCGCAAGTACCATTGCGAAGTTGTGGAGGCCTTTTCTTCACCCTAAGTCAACCCTCATCCATGAATAACCATCCAAGGGAACGTCTCGAAATCCCTGAGGTATCCAGACATACATCCATCCTCTATTAACTTTTCTCCGCGCGATGTATGATTTTAAATCACGGCGTGCGCTAAGGAAACTGAGGATCGCCGTCTGCCGAAGGTTATATCTTAATAACTAATGATGATAGATACTAATAAAGGATACATAGAGATAATTAAACCAGCGAAGTGCCAAATGTTCAGAGACTAGAGAGGCGAAGGTTATTTGAAAGAGACTAGTCAAGAAGTCGAGTTGCGGAGCAAGCGAAGAAGTCTGATAATCTGAGATCAGTTGACGTACGAAGGGTGTAACGGGTAGTGAGAGACTGAGAATATCAGACAGTGAGAATAAAAGATTGAAATACTATGTAATTGCTAGAATTCGAGATTCAAAGACTGTAAGAATGAAAGATTAAAATGATTAAGAGCGACCTTGTGACAACTACAGCTTCCTCAAGTGCAACTAAAGATTCTACAATTATTCCACTTAGGCTCGCACAAGATCTAGCCCTGACTCCAACCCTAGCCTCAACAGGCTCGATTCAAGCTGGCGCAATGGCCTAGATGATAATCTAACTGTGAATGTCTCAGATTTGTTGAGAATCTTTTCGTTGGAACTTCATCTTGAACTTTGCGCTTAAACACTGATTCAAGAATGTCTCGCTACAATATCTTAGGCGTCTCCCCCACAAGTAGAGTAGGTGCCCAGGCTACTTAAATAATACTGGAGAACACCACTTGAAGCTTGTCCACGGCGCTCTCCATCGTTGGCTTGTTGAGTGTGTGTGTGTCCACTGTACTACTTGAGTCTATGACTATCTAGCACATTGGGCTCCTCTCTGACCCAGGCCACACCTTGTACAGTGATCCTATCCTCTTTTGTTACTTGAAAGATTATTGATATATTGCCCTTGATGAATAGCCATCCAGCTCAGTGTTTACCCGTGGAATTCGGCCACCTTTTCCCCGGATCCTTCTACCCAAATAATTAAAAGTTAGTAGCTACAAAAACTGCGTGCGCGGGAAAAAGTCTCAAAAAACCTGCATCCCCAGCCGGGCGAGCCCTAGACACCGGGACCACATGAGGTGCGCATATTCATCTATATCTACCTTCTTTGTAACAGTCGAGGTCGACTTGATCCAATCCGCCATCGACGTACCGGGTGCTAGGTGCGTTCCGGAAACTCATCAGACGGCTTATCCTCCATAATCAAGGGTTGGTGATGATTAGGGCTTCGACCCTAACATCTGATTTGATCGTGATTAGCTTCATAATGATGGTGATAGGGGAATGTGTTGAGAGATGAAGACGATACAGACCGTGAAAGAGATTGGGAATCCTCGTCGAAGCGAGGACTTTGTTACTCAATCTTGGCTCTGCAGACTCTACAGTGAGAGCTAGAGGTTCGTAGGGCACACCATTGACGGACGTTGAGAAAAGTCACCCTCCCATCTGCAATGTAATAAGTGAAACGTGAAATAACAATGTTTCATACTATTAAATGATGGCCTTATTGGTCCCAGAACCGTTAGATCCGAAGCGTTATCCGCACGTCCCCATGAGCATGACTGCATTAGATAAGCTGCGGCTGATCTTCAGGGTCGCAGGCAGTAGCCCGCCTAGTACCATCATCCAATGACGAATACCCAAGCATGTGGCCAGCTACAATCTACTCCGCTCAGCATTGTTCATCTTTCAACTGTTTGGCTACATAAATATCAGCGTAGGAAAATGAACAGTATTGTCAAATATTATTAGATGAAGAGTTAACTATCTGCGAAAATCGATTTACCAGCCACGGGCCTAATCTGGACTTCTACGGCTTTACGCATGCTACAAATCAAGTCTCAACTCGAGCCTCTTAATGTGGGTTGACGAGTAATATAAGCCTAGGTGGAACAAATTTGAATTAGTTAACTGAGCAAAGGAAACCCAAACTTTGAACATAATCTTTGGTGAACTCTAGGCCCAGCCTCCTTTACAGACGACGACTCGCTAACAGGGGATAGAGAGGAAATGAAGACATCCTCGCCCTACACCGCAAGAGTGCACCAGCCTTTTCCTCGCTTGTCCGTAGGTCATTCACGAGAATTATTACCAAGTGACGCAGGAACCAGGGCAGAAAGTAGTCTTGTCAATGGGATAGAAGATGACGCCTGTTGCAGAGAGGAAATGTCACTTGAGCCGGATCGCGAATCCTCATGCGCCTCCGATAAATTAATTGAGCATGAGCCGGAAAAAAAAGGAACCAACGAGATGTTGTCCTCCGAGTTGCCGAAACCAATTACTGAAGGTGGAAGGACTGGAAAACAACGGGACGCTAGTGCCATTCGATGGGCTCCCATAAATATCCCTCTGCGACGACGGTTACAGACGTTGGTGGTACTCTTTCATACTCTCTGCATGGCACTCAGTGTATCGTTATTTTTCTTCCTCTTCGCCATACCTATTTTTTGGCCGTTGTTGGTACCGTACATGCTCTATTGCATGTACTCGACATCTTCCACATCCGGAGACTTGAGCCACAGATCGCCTTTTCTCCGATCATTATCGGTATGGGACTTATTTGCAACATACTTTCCCGCACGACTACATCGTAGCCAAAACCTCATAGCGACACGAAAATATATATTTGGTTACCATCCACATGGCATCATCTCAATGGGGGCTTTCGCAGCTTTCTGTACTGAGTCTCTTGGTTTTGCAACCCTTTTTCCTGGAATCGAAAACACACTTCTCACCTTAGATTCAAATTTCAGAATCCCCATCTACCGAGATTACGCTTTGGCAATGGGATTGGCATCAGTTTCAAAAGAATCCTGCGAAAACTTACTCTCAAAAGGGGGAATAAATAACGTGAGTGGTCAAAAGTGCCCCCCCCCCCTTGACATCGAGTTACTCAACATAAGTTAGGAAGGCATGGGTCGAGCAATCACTATAGTAATTGGTGGAGCGCGTGAATCCTTGAATGCTCAGCCGGGTACGTTACGATTAGTCCTCAAACGACGTAAAGGCTTTGTCAAGATGGCCTTCCGAACGGGAGCCGATCTTGTACCTGTACTTGGGTTCGGTGAGAATGACCTCTATGATCAGGTCCAGCCTGATGAGTATCCTAATATCTATCGCCTGCAATTGCTAGTGAAAAAATTACTTGGATTCACCATTCCTCTGTTTCATGCCCGGGGGATTTTCAATTACGATATGGGCCTAATGCCTTATCGTCGGCCCATGAATATTGTTGTAGGCCGACCGATCTTGGTAGAACAGAATCATGACCCTGGACAAGAGCAAATTGATCATGTCCATGAACAATACGTTCAAGAGCTAGAGCGCATATGGAACATGTGGAAAAATGAATATGCGCCTTACCGTAAAGAGGAGTTGGTTTTCGTACGTTAATTAGTGTAGCGAGCAATGCATGGATCTATTTAAATTTTAAGAAGCAGAACGTTGAAATGGCAGATCTTTCCCATGGCCTCCTCAACATATTGAGTCCCCTGTATGAATCACGTGGTTACACGTCTAGACATAAGGTTCAGGCTCGGTACCATGGTCAAGCACACCGCAACATATACATCATTGATAATCCAATCTATTTTATAAAAACTTCGTCCCATTTAGGAGTATAGTTACGTGGATCACGCAGGTTTTTTTGGCCACAGGATAAAGCCACCCATGCTTCGGGTATTACATTTTCCCAATCCTCCCTACAGCTCCCTTAGATTAGTTCCCCTCTTTGGATCCTTATTCGGCCGTAGGAAAAGAATCTACACTTAAGTTATTTCTCCCATTTAACCAACTGATCGAACACTATCTTTGGGAGCTCAACAGGCGGTAGAGGTCGCAAAATCTTCTTAGTATGACTACCCTTATTAACAACATCAGGTTTATATTCGAAAACATCGCTTCACTTCTAGAATGTACCAATATTCCAGCCACTTGGTTGCTAGGGGCTTTTATGTTGTGATTATACTTTATGTAGCTATGTGACCATGAAAATGTTGGATTGTGCAGTGACATCCACTCGGGCCATTCTCTCGAGCAGAATCTGGGTAGCTTTAGTACCTTTCCAATTTGTGGCAGGAGAAAGCTAGCTCATATCCAGTAAAACCCTCGCTCCAGTCTCTCTCGCGGTGATATTGTGGTCGTGTGATAATGAAAGCACACTCGGAATAGAATAGAATAGAATAGAATTTAATTTAAGTCCCTACTGAGTCTGTGATTATGGAGTTCTACTTAAACTATTTGAAAAGCTCTAAATTTTAATATGGGAAATTTTTTTGATATTTTCAATGTTTACCAATAGATATTGATGGTCATCCCCTGAAGCACACTCGGATAACCATAGGTTATTAACGCTTTTCTCTAGTGGATATTCTTGAAAGAGGTTATACGCCGTAAGGGTCAACCTCTAGTGGTATCTGCAAATGAAATCTGAGAGTGAGTGTTCAAAACGTCAAATTGTGTCATCCTACTCAATGTACATATTTTCTGATTGAATCTGCATGGGCCTCTTTTTTTGCATCAGATTTTAATTGCGCAAGCAGCTATCTAGCTATGTCACAATATCAAAGAAAAGTACAGAATGGATGATTCAACGTAAAGGAAGAGCACTCATGCCTCAGATTTCATTTGTAAGTACCACTGCGAAGTTATGGTGGCTTTTCTTCACCCCAAATCAACCCTCACTCCGAATCGAAGTCGAAAGCAAACACATGCATATCTCCATTTGACGACTTCTCAATCATGTAGAACTCACCATTATCTTCTGGGTCCTCAACCCCGATCCAACCACATATCATCTCGCCTCGCCGACCGAGAAAGGCGTCACCCCAATTGCAAACAGGAGCTTGCCTCATTCATCACCGGCCATCACTCACTACAAATTTACGACGCTACGTATACCCGCAAGGAGGAAATTAAGTCATAATATACAAAGTTGGGGTCTTGGTTTATGGGGGACTTTTGCTCTAACGGGGTTATACATCTTGAGGAAGAACAAGCGGCTGAGATGTGAAGCGAGAGGGGAAAGAGGTCTCTGCAGACCGTGTTGGGACTGACATTTTCGAGGAGTTTTCAACTTTGGATTTTTTGTGGGCGCCAAGACTAAGATTTCGACCCATTACCTTGGAGGGCTTCTTTTGTCGATGAGTCAACGGCACTCCCCAGCGCCCTGGACGGCACAAGAGAAGTCGGGCTAAGCTACTATACAGCAATCACGTTCTGTCAAGACTTTTCTGACATTTCAGCACGACCTTCGGGAAGGAGTTGGAAGGAGGCTAGAAAGGTAAAGTGTGAATTCCCCGAGGTACCCACAAGTCTGCAGCGCCCAGCTGGCCGGCCTCTTCGAACGCTTCAGAAGGGGCAATATGTCTTCGGATTTATTCCTAATGTCGGTATTAGGAGAGCTCCGCACCTAGTGGTTTTTGCGACTTTTCCCGGCTGCCATATACCCGCAAATGGCCATCGTTTCGTTGGCTGGAGAGGGGAGATAATGAAGGGCCGAGGGCTCCTCTAAGTGTATGATCGAATGAGGACTTGTGAGGGGTGGTACTATTTGAGGGGAGCTGTATGGGAGGCATAGGAGGGGATATACTACTGGTATAGGTATCCTTGTCCTGTAGGCAGAGAGGACCTGCATGTCCTACATAGTCATAGACTCAGACAGGACAATAAAATGAAAAAATAAATAAAAATCAACCCTCATCCGTGAATACCCACTCAGGGGAACGTCTTAGAAACCCTGAGGTATCCAGATATGCCTCCATATCCATTTCCTCTTCTCCGCGCGAAATGTGATCTGAGGTGTCTCCTTCCTAAGTGGATTGAGTGTCCAGGCTACTCAGACTATAGGAGAGCAAGACTAAACACCTGTACCCGGTGTCCTCTACGAGCCTGGGAGTGAAATATTCTCCCAGAGCCAAGTTCAGTCAAACTTCACAATATTAAAGAAGTTGGCCCACGAGGCGATGATTCAAACTACTCCGCCATGTCATTTTTTCGCTCCCAACGAGTTCGACTCCTACCCAGGTCTCATCAAGTGTACAAGTACGAGCTAGTACATCCTCATCCCAATGACCACACCACTCCTCGACCTTCTCTGGTCTCAGTTGACCACCATATACACGCCCACGCCGATATTTACACGCGACGGAGGGAGCAAAGCGTGGCGCATAAATTTGAGAGACAACTCTTTGGGATGGACGTGAGAGAAATCAGGCCAAGTTGGCAAGATCTTGCGAAGAAGGGACATATCCTCGAAGGGCGTAAGATTTTAAATTTGGGCGAGGAGCTTTACGAATTGAGCTTTGTACGCGCCAAGACTTCGCTTGCCAGAGTGCAACTAGCACTATAAAAACAAGCTAACGATGGAAGGTGCCGTGGTCTACCTCTTGGTGGTGTTCTCTAGTATAATTTGAGTAGCCTGGGCACCTACTCCACTTGGGAAGGAGACACCTGAGACCAAATTTCACGCGGAGAAAAGTAAATGGATAATGGAGGCATGTCTGGATACCTCAGTGTTTCTGAGATGTTCCCCTGAGTGGGTATTCACGGATGAGGGTTGACTTGGGGTGAAGAAAAGTCGCCATAACTTCGCAGTGGTACTTGCAAATGAAAGCTGAGGCATGAGTGCTCTTCCTTTACGTTGAATCATCCATTCTGTACTTTTCTTTGATATTGTGACATAGCTAGATAGCTGCTTACGCAATTAAAATCCGATGCAAAAAAGAAAAAAAACTCAGACGATACCGGAGCACACCACTGTATGGGCCTTGAGGCGTCGAATTAGGTCAGTTATATAATTTATTTACACGACTATGATACATGACCGGTGCTATATGTACATGTTCGATGGCTCTTTTGACTTCGGACACTCACACTCTCGTATTCTTATGCAAATACCACGATAAATGTTTTCTCACACATATTTGCGACCCTCTTCTGTGAGTTCCCACCAAAAGAGACGTTCAGAATCTTTCATTATCCAAGCAAGCCTCTTCGTCAATGCATACCAGCGCCGCTAGAGATATGGTTTTGTTTTGCCGGATTTGAACTAGCCACCTCCTCTCTACAGTGGGAATTAGTGTCCCAGGTATCCAGAATCTACTTAGGAGACCGCACCAATAGGGTATAGCATTGTTTACAGTGTCGCCTTCACTCTTGCAATCGAAATCTTGGTGCGCACACTGCGCGACTAGCCTTATCCCCTGCTAGAATTCAACCTTCCACATCTTTCGGGATTTGGTATGATATGAAAGCATACTAGTCTTACTGTGGACAGTCAAGGGTACGCATGATAATGTTGGGCTCAACATTGTAAGGAATGAGGCCGGCAAAGACGAATTCTTCACCTTCCAGTGGTGCCGGTGTAATTGCTCAGTACGCTCTGCATATCTGGGATAGCCAAGATGAATGGCATCCGAATCGAAGTCAAAGCAAACTCAGATACATCTAAAATCGACGAATGTCGTCAATGTCGGATCTATCATTCTCACGCGAGTCCTCCACCTCAACCTTACCACACCACCTCGCCTCAAATACTGATAATGGCGTTACTCTAATTGCAATCGGGCATTTGCCTCATCAAAAACCTGTCATCTATCACTAAACATTTACGATGCTATGTATACCTGCGAGGAGGAAATTAAGTTATAATTTACAAAGCTCGGGTCTTGGTCTATGGAGGACCGTTGCTCTAATGGGGCTTCACATCTTGAGGGAGGACAGGCAGCTGGGACGTCGGAAGAACGAGTGAAGAGGTCACAAATGGGCATGCTGGGACGCACATTTTTCGAATATTTCCGACTCAAGGGTGTCTATGGGCGCCGAGGCAACGATTTAGGACAGTGCTACCGACACTCTGAAAACAGGCAACGATGGAAGGTGTATTGGCCTGCCTCCTGGTCATCATCTCTCGAATTAAAGTCTGGGTAGCCCGGACACCTATCTTACTCGAGAAAGGGAGGACTGTGAGGCCACATCTCGCGCGGCGGCTATATACAGGATGACAAAGGCATGTTAGGGTAGCCCAAGGTTTTTCCTGTTTTCCCTCTGGTGGATATTAACGGTTGAGGGAAGGGTGAAAGTCCCTAGCACCAAGGTTTTGAGTGGTGTCAGCGAATGCACCCACTACATGAGTAGTCCAAATGTCAAACTGAGTTATCGTCGAATACAGTTACCGAAGAAGCTAGTCTTCTCCGTGTCATGCTCTTTGGGTGCAGGACTTGTGCCCATCACGAAAAAACTTCCATCTTCATCTTCATCATTATAAAGAAAGAGCACTGAGAGTCTGGCTCGACCACTGTAGTTCAGAATCCATTATTTTTTTTTTAAATATCTAATTAGCTTGCATCCATCTAGCTATGACACATGACCGGTATTAGGTATAAATGAGGAAT